GGTTGCAGCTAAGTATCTCGCCTTCAAAATAGAACTTCGTGAATGATATTGCGTCATATTGCAGTTCAGATAAGCACGGGGGAGCTTGTGGCTGGTTCGTGCAGGACGTATACAGGGAAGATGTGGGGGTCGTGGTACTTACATTGTCCTACGCAGGAGGCAACTGAATACTTAGAAAGGAGCAGCAAGGGGTCCTTTCCGAGACTACTAGGCTACAACGATGCGCGTCTCCTCTTACGAAGCTGAGGCGAGGCGTAGCTTCCTGAGAAACAACATCGCAGCGCCGAGGGATGTGAAAACAAAGGTCGTACTCAATATTCTCAGTAGCTGAAGCAGGGATAAGCCAGTAAACTAACGTAAGCCAAAGGGCACTCGGCGTTGCAGTCAAAGGTTCAAGTGCGCAAACAGGGAAGGAGCGGAGATGTCGGCAGTTTCTCGGTACGGGTACAGGGCTGCACCACAGTTCCGCCGCCGTCATTACGCACGACTGCACCGTACTCGCAAGCATGGCAAAGGCTTCGGTAAATTTCATCTGCATGAAGAAGACTGACTCTTGGTTCGTTTTGGTATAGTGAAACGCAGGCAGTACTTCGCACGCACTACCATTCTACTGGACCATCTCCGCGGAACCACCAAAACAATCTAAATCCCCGCACACATGTGGTGGCCACAATTGCCCACCACCCATTTGCAGCTATTGACGAAGTTCAACCATACAGAAACATTGCTCTGCGAGATGAGAATCCGCAGATGAGAAGCAGTTCAGGTTCGAACTAGCCCATCGGCATTGGCCTAAGGAAACCGGTCCAGCTGGCACTCTGAAAGCTCCCGTTGTTGCCTTCATCATTGTGTCATCGCTGGCTCCGACAGCAACAAATTTTCTCGCCTCCTCGGAGACCTACGTTCTAGCCGAGGGAATCTCCGGCTGGCCAGGACTACCATGCACGCATCGCTATCTTTTATAGTTAACACGCCTACCGACAACAGCATTTTTCTGGCGATCTTTTGCAGGAATGAGTGACAGCGTGCACATGCTTTCTCATTGTGTATAAAGCTAGCGCATCACCTCCAGCTATACAGATCTCCTATGCTTGTTCCTTTCTTGTATTCATATCGAACTCTGTAGGAGCTTGGGCCTAACGAAGAGGAGCTGCCTTGTGCTGTTGGCGTGTGTGTATACACTGCATCTGGCGACTGCGCATTACTTCGGCTGCTGTGGCAGTATATTTCTTGCGGACTTTTTCTGCTGCTTGCCGCTCCAGGCATAGCGCCATTTCCGTACCTGTCTTTGCCCCCTAGAGCCTGATAAAGACGTCTCTCTCTGTCCTTGACCCTGATGCTGTTCCTGTGTGTCATTGTTTGTTTTTCTGTTTGCCTTCCCCTCCAGCCGTCTCTTCCTGCCTTTGTGAGTGGGCTCCGTGCTTATCGCTCTTTCGTTCCCTCGTGGCCTCCCAACAGGAATCCTACATATCTGTCAGCGAGTGTCCGCTTTCCTGTTTCTGTCTGTCTGTCCCCCTATCTATCCGTTGGAAATACGACTTCCCTCTGCTTTGGCATGGGCTTGTCTGTCTCACTCTTCATCAGCTTACTATGAAAAATTTCGTCCGGCCTGGTCGCTTGAGGCAAGCGAAATGAGACAAGCTGTATCATCTCCTTGGTGACGACGAACAGCCATGTAACAAAAGAAGCCAAACGCCTTACCTGCAAAGTGGCGACGGCGCAGGAACACCTCAAATGTGCATGCACCTTTGGAAGAGGAAGAAACTGACTCGAAATTAACGGAAAATCTAACCAGAGCAGCTCCAGGACAACTAAGACGCAACGTGGTTGGGGTAGTGCGAGCAGCGAACGCCACGACGAACAAAATGAGTGAGCAAACAGATGCGCAAGAAAAACCCTGAAACGGAAAGGCTAAGAAACACAGTCAAAAGCAACGACAAGCTGGCCGGAAGCGACAAATAGGCCCAGATAGAGTAAAATGCCAACAAAGACGGGCAAAAAGATGACATCAGCAGACTAATACCGCGGCATTCAAAGGAAAAGCAAGGCAAAGAGTCTGACATGCTCAGGACAAGGGCGGGGCAAAACAGCAGCAAAACGAAACAGCGTGCAAAGGGAGTGAGCTTAAAAGGACATTGGCATTCTCTCTATTGACTGAACACCAAGAAGTGGCATAAGCCTGCATGTTCCATGGATTCTTCAAATAGCATGCGGCTGGTACTATCCATCTGCGATCTGCGACAGTCATAGTTCCAACCAGCTGCGATCCGCGACAATCGCAACCCTTGAACGCCCAAACAGCACTGATGCTGAAGTGCATTTCAACTTACGTGGCGTAGTCAGTCTAAATGCTAAGCCGTATAAACTTCTCCCCGGAGGCGATTATACTGTAAATGGCTTACATGGCGGGGACGTTGTTGCTAGACACCAACAAACAGCGCTTGAGATGCCTGGAACGCGCGAAACGAGACGTCATTTACAGGATGTCCTTCCGCATAGGCAGCCCTCTGGGTAGCTAAAGAAAAGTTTTTTGAGATAGGGTGAATGCCACTACGACGCAAGGGAGTACAAGGGACTGCAGTACATCATACTGCACTCCCTTGCACTCCCTTGCGTCGCAGTGCCATTCACCCTACGTCGAAAACTTTTGTGTGGCTCAGGTGGCGCAAGGAAAGAAAGCCCTGCCCCTGAGGAAAGAGGTGAAGAGTCACGCAACAATAGCCATACGCCCTGTGCCTGTGCCGCTGTTGAATCTCCTTAAGCCTTAATGCTCCTGCAATAGTTTCTCTGTGCTAAGTTAGTGCAAGAACCCCCCCACCAGCAATATTAGTAAGTGCAATGGCTCTACCAGGAAAGGTTAATTTCGATAACGAACGAGACCTTGGCCTGCTAAATAGGGTCGGTAACTTCGGTTATCGT